TTTGTAACAGCTTTTTCATAATTTTCAAGTGCAACTGAAGATTATTTCATTGATTGATGTGTAACACCAATATTATTATAACCAGCAGCTAAATCTGGATGATGAGGTAGAAGTGTTTTTTGTTGAATTTCAAGTGTTTGTTTTTATAATATTCAAGTGCAGCTGGATATTCTTGCATAGATTGATGCATAACACCAATATTATTATATGTAACAATAAGTAATGGATGTGTTGGTGAAAGTGATTTTAGTTTAATACCAAGTGATTTTTTTATATAATGTAAGTTCTATACTTTATTATTACCTAATTTTCTTTGTATATCAGCTATATTATTATAAGTAGCAGCTAATGATGGGTGTGATGGACGAAGAGATTTTTCTTGAAGTTTTTGTGTTTTTTGATAATATTCAAGTGCTGTATTATAATCTCCTAATGCTAGGTGAAAACAGCGGTTTTATTTTTTCGAAACGTTTTCTCCGGAAAAATGTGATCTATTCAAGATCTAGAGTCCATTGAGTAGGTCCTAGACAGAATTTTATTCAGACTTTTTCTTTCGGAGGGACGACTTAAAACTTCGAGAAGGCGAATATCTATTTTTTCGAGCACATCCTCATGGTCTAATACTTACGATCTCTGGAAGGACTAACTTCAAAAGGTCATTTAAACAAACGTAACAGGAACGTATCATTTTTTTTTCTTTTAATTTGTGTCTCGCTTGAATAAATTATTTGATTTTAAGAAAACGCAAAGAAAAATTTAAAGATACAATATTATATTTATCACAAAAAAAATCTGAAGAATCATTTAACGATACAATATTATATGTTCATATCAGGGACGAAAAAAAACCGAAGAAAAATTTAAAGATATAATATTATGTTTATCACATCGAAGATAAAAAGAAATCTGAAGAAGAATTTACAGGTACAATATTATATTTATCACATCCAGGACAAACAATCTGAAGAACAATTTAAAGATGCAATATCGTGTGATCATATCAAAGACAAAGAAAACTCAAAGAAAAATTTAAAGATACAGTATATAGGGTGTCCAGTAAATGACTAGAGTTAGAAAAAATTGCATATCTCTCTGCTACGGCTCGAGCAAACAGGCTGATTTTTCTACCAATAATAGAAGCATGTTCACACTTTAAATCCATACAGACAAGATTAGAAAGAGCCTTTGTTAAGTACCACCAACGACCTCAACAAAAAAATTTTACTTTTTCACAGATAAGAAAAAAAACAATAGACTTAACAAAGGATCTCTCTAGGCATGTCTTTATGAGTATAAAGCTTGGACATGCCTCTATCATTGATAAAAGAATCAGCTCTTTTGCTCGAGCCATAGTGAAGATATTCAATTTTTTTGCGGCAAAGTGACTTTTGCGCTACTCCGTATAGTGTTCTTTTCCTATCTGTGAAAAAGTAAAATTTTTTTTGTTGAGGTCGTTGGTGGTACTTAACAAAGGCTCTTTCTAATCTTGTCTGTATGGATTTAAAGTGTGAACATGCTTCTATTATTGGTAGAAAAATCAGCCTGTTTGCTCGAGCCGTAGCAGAGAGATATGCAATTTTTTCTAACTCTAGTCATTTACTGGACACCCTATATATAACAACAAAGGCAAAAATTATGCTCCAAGTGTAAATATACATACTATTAACATTTATCTTTTTTTGATTAATTATCCAATAAATCTCTTGCTTGAACTATAAATAAAAACATTTATATTTAAAAAAACAATCTATATATATATATATAAATTACTATAATAATCCTTTGTCTGAATAATCACATCATGTGCCAACAATTGTTCATCATGTTCCTCAGCCGTTAAATAACAATACTCTCTTTTGAGTTTTAAGAAAATGTACCGAGCAGAGATGAGCGAGCCGCGGTTTCACACCGCCCCGCCCCGTCGGCGGGACGGTGCAGAAACTTGACGGGGCGGAGCGGTGACGGTGCGTCGCAAGATCTTGCGGTTTCCCCGCCCCTTGACAATATTGAGTTTTTTTTAACATTTTTCTTAAATGTTTATTTTTTTTCTATTTCGAAATTTTATCTTGATATACAGGGTGGTCTATAAATAATAACATAACGACAAGAAATTTAAATATTTCTACTTCTGGTCATTCAAAAGGATTCAATTTTTTTCATTCGAATAATGTAAATAAATCCAACTGTTAAGTGTTTCAATTAACGTCAACAAAGCAACTTTACTAGTTGTCAAGTAAAAAATTACATATGAAATATTGTGTAGATGACTTTTAGTTGTCGTTTGACAGAATGACTTGAAAAAATTCAAATCTGCTGAATGATACTATATGGATGACATTGAGAGAAATTTCTCAACCAGTCAATTTGAAAGTTAGCAATTACAATGTTTCGAAGTCTCAGACGTGGAACACTGATTTTTGTTGAAAACTTGTCGACTGGGTAACTAAAGGCTTTCAGATACGTGTTTTAGTTATCAAGCACTAGTTCCGGTATTCAAAGTAGCTAGTCCAGAAATTTTTCTATATGTACATCAATGTAGTATCATTTAGAAGATTTGTTTGAATTTTTTCAAGTCATTCTGTCAAATGATAACTAAAAATCATCTACACAATATTTCATATGTGGTTTTTTACTTGATAACTAGTGAAGTTGCTTTGTTGACGTCAACTGAAATACTTAACAGTTTGATTTACTTGCATTATTCAAATGGAAAAAAATTGAGGAGAGTTCTATTGCCAACCAAAAAATGAGCCCATTTGCATGAACAGAAGTAGAGCCATTTAAATTTCTTATTGTCATGTCATTATATGTAAGTCATCCTGTATTTAAATTATACCTTCTCATCTCAGGAAATATAATAGTAATTATGAAAAGTTACTAAAAGTTTCATGAATAAATGACTTCTGACGACAGACTTTAGATGGGGCGGGGCGGGGCGGTGACGGTTTTATTGTTGAATAGGCGGGACGGTGACGGTGCGAAACTTTATCAACGGGACGGGACGGGGCGGTTGCGGTGTGACTTTTTGGCTGGCTCGCTCATCTCTGATACGTACTATTAACATTTATCTTTTTTTGATTAATTATCCAATAAATCTCTTGCTTGAACTATAAATAAAAACATTTATATTTAAAAAAACAATCTATATATATATATAAATTACTATAATAATCCTTTGTCTGAATAATCACATCATGTACCAACAATTGTTCATCATGTTCCTCAGCCGTTAAATAACAATACTTTCTTTTGAGTTTTAAGAAAATATACCGAACGTCAAATAAACGATACTATATTAAAGAATTGTTGAAATAATTTTTTTTTGACATAACAACACTTACTTGATCAACTACGTCATTTGGTGTTCCATGTTTACAAATATACATAACCTTATCCCAATTTACAGTAGTGCGTTCAGTCATAATTTGATTTGAAAAATTTTTAAATTTGTATCAAATTATCTAAAGAGAACGGATAAAGTATGTCATATGTCGACAGTTAAAAATTCGTCTAAAGTAGATTATCATCATTGCCATATAGGAGATAAGTAAATCACACAAGTGACTGACTGATATTTCTTAGACACAAACATGTTTTATAAAGAAAAGAAAAAAGAAAATAAACGCTGGATGCGATAAATAAAGAAATGCTTCTAGTGAATGATATATTCAAAAGAATTTCATGTTTTTCTATATCTTTTCTTTAGAAAAGATAAGATTATTATTCTGTATTAATAAACACGATAACAACCGAGAAATTTGTCCTGATAAGTTATTATATGCATGTCAAATCTAAGAACAAAGAAAATCGGCATAAGTTCTCAATGAATCTTGTTTCTATTATCGAGTTTTTTTTTATACCTGAACTCTTGATTTATTGATTATCAATAAAAAATACATAAAAATTAAGGTCAAATGTCAACAAATCGATTTGATCAATTAAATGACATATCATAAGAATTTTTCCTCTTGCGTAATGAGGGAAAATTTTCTCCTAAAACTGTTTTTATCTGTTCGTCATCCAGATAACCTGGATAAATATCATCAAAATATAAACTACTAAGACATGAATGAATTAATGGTTGTTTATTTAGTAATACAACCAGAAATTTATCGAAAATATCTGCAAATTTATCAAATTCATTCACTTTATCGATTGATATTGATTGAAGATATAAAATCGTATTAAATATTTGTCGAGAAATTTTAATTAATAAATCAGATAAATGATCAAGTTGAAATTTTCGAATATTCGAAAATGAGTTATTTTCAGAAGATATTTTTAAGAAAAATAACATTTCAGTTTGTATTACTTCAAATGATGAAAGACAAGATAAATGAAAAAGTAAAGAAATACTTGATGAAGAATAAATACGATTCGAAATCAATGTTAAATCATCAGCAAAATGGTGAACCAGATCTTTCAAGTCGTTTCATATAAATTGATGGATGATTGATGATGATAATGATGATGTATCTAAATAGAAAAAATATTTTTCACAGAAGAAATTCGACAAACAATTTCACGATGTTTCATATGACAATCGTTTATTTCTTACATAATCATTTTGTACATATTTTCAGAATAATTCGGTAGATTATATATTTTTCATACTGAAGGTCACGTATAAGATTGTGTTTACTTCAATAAATATTAACGTGAACACCTTTATTAATTCAAAATGAATAAGAATATGCTATTTCATCAAAATTAAGCTTAGGTGGATTATTCATTTCAATAAATAACTTAAATTTATTTATTGAATAGACAAATGATAAATAAATTCATAATTTATCTTCATTAGTAAACAAGTAACGTTCATCGTCAAGGGATTCACTTAGCCCTAGATTGATAGAATACATGTACGGATGTAATAGCATAAAAACCTACATTAAAAAAGTAATACGCTAAATTTATAATATGACCAGTATATCTTAGGCGACCAGAAAATCTTTATTTGGAGAATTCTCACTCTAAGTAAAGATGATGCATTTACAAATTTAATTTTTTTGTCGTTTTTGTTTTTTTTTTTTTTTTTGCTTTTATAAATATAAATAACCCCCAATAAGATTAGACAACAATACGGTTTTTTTATAATTATATTGGCGCTATTTGTACATACAAAAATATGAATTATATTATTCATAAAATTTGAGTTTTATTAATCAATATTCTATGCTTAAATTCGCGCATTAATTCTAAAATATTATAATAAATAATATATTCATTGATACAACATTGCACAATCAATCCTACAATAATGAATAATTTAAACGATTTCTTTAAATCCATACTGCCCATTTGACCTGACTTTCACTAATTAAATGCTTTTGTAAGCCGTTTTACACCACTACCCGAATTATAGTTATTCCATTGACATTTTACCCATGATTATTATGGGTTCATTTACATATCAGTCTTTAGATGGTCATTTGTACCACAGTTACCATGGTCATTTTGACCATAATTGTTAAATAGTCGTTTGGATGACAGTTACGATGGACATTTTAACCAGATGGTCATTTGTACCATTGTTACTATGGGCATTTGAACCACAGTTACTGTGGGCATTTTAACCATATGACCATTTGTACCCTAGTTATCATGGCCATTTTGACCGCGTTACAGACAGACAGACAGACACAGGTGAATTTCGGTTTCTAGACCCTAGACTGAAAGGCTAGGGAAAATACTATCAGCTAATCGATAAAGAATTGTTAAAGTTTCAACATGACGTAATATTCTCGGAATAAATCGAATAATATCCTATTAACGTGATGCACCTTTCATAGATTTCAAAGATATATTAAAAGAAAAATCAATTAATTTTGTTGCGAATGGAATAGGACTTCGAAGAGTTTTTGTATGAGAAAATTCGCTATCAAATAAAGAAATATTCCAATAAGGAACAGTATCAAATTATAATCGAGAAAGAAATGTATAAAAATCGTATATCGAAGAAAGTGTTATTGATAATGATCATAGCAATGATGACAATGAACGCATTGATTGATTGATCGATTTCGCAACCATATATCCTGGCTGAAAGAAAAACAAATATGTTTGATTTGAATAAAATACTCATACAAACTGTTTTATCTGTAAAAAAAAAACAGAATTCGCGCTTTGGCAATTTAGTGAGTGTTCATCTCATGAAGTTTTTGTCAGCATAAAAAGTCTATCACAAAGATAAAATCGGCGGGTTTTGTAAAGAATTAAATTCTCTATCCAGTGAGATCAAAACCAAAATTGGAAGAAGTTTTAATTGTCTCAACAATAAAAAATAAAAGCCAATCATTTATTATGGACACCGATTATTTCGATTCCATCTTATGTTCTTGTATAACGGGTGGGCCATAATAAACTGCACAAAATATGAATGCCTTTTTGTCTACTTCCTCTTCAGATATAAAGTTTCTTCATACACCCTAAGATAGAGAATTTCAAGCTCTACAAAATTGTAATTGTTTTAGATTTATAGCTGTTACCATTAAAAGGTTATGTAATGAAAAGCAAAGACATTCAAAAACTAGTACTGCGATTGCATCAGGAAGGTCTCAATGAAAATCAAATTTATAAACATGTACGTGGTACGGTTTCAAGAGCCACAATTTATTCTTGGATAAAATCAATCAACACATCTGGCACAATTGATTTGAAGAGTCCAAAAGTTCGTCTAAGAATAATTCGTACAAAAAGCCTGATCCAGAAGGTGAAACAACGTTTGTCCAGAAAGAAAAGAGTGTCTTCACAAATATTGGCGAAAGAAATGAACATCTCTCCTACCAGCATGCGTCGTGTAATTAAAGAAGATCTACGTTTTAAACCTTATGTGAAACGAGTAGCATCGAAGCTTAATGAGCAATATAAAATTAAAAGAAAAGCGTTTGAAATTTGGGTTAGAAAAAATATTCGAAAATCAATGACGGAAAAAGTTTTATTCTCCGACGAGAATGAAATTGATTCGAACACACTACCTTTGATTTGGGGCAAATTTTTCAGAGAACCGTTCTAAGCGAATTACTTTTCCACAGTGTTGTCCTCTATATTTTTCTTGTGTTATTGGTTTAACAAACTTAACGTTTTCTTCACTCGATTCCAGGATGTCGTATTTTCTTCCTCATTAACAACGATTACCTTACGCTTCACAATTTTTTTATTATTTGAACTTGGAATACGCAAAAATTAACATCAACTTCGAAATGTATCAAACAAAAGTTTGTAAAAAGAGTATTCGATGAGAGCGTACCTCTATATGTCAAGTCAAGTAAGAATAATAATATTTTTTCGACTCTAATTTTGTTTACAAATAATTATAAATAAATTTAGATTCTTCCACATAACCAATTTGGTAATATATATACAAACAAGTTTATCTTTCTTGTAACCCTCTCGATTTTTATTGCTGCCTTTTATTATATTAATTGTAATAGCATTCGATTTTTTTTTACTTTGTTTGATATTTTTATTTTCATTTGAAATAAAAAGAAGCTCATTTGATAAGCATAAAAGAAAATTTCAGCGATGCATAAAAAAGTAATAAAAACAAAGCCTAATATTTCATTACAAAATTCTGGAAACAAAAATCAAATATTCAATGATGTGTGGAAGATTTGCGTAGAATTTAATGGTTCTTTTCATGAAGAACAGGTTAAAACTACCTATTGGAAACGTTCTATCATTATACATTATCCATTATTCTATTTTAATCACCCTTCATTACTAGGGAAATAACCTTCTCAGTGATGCATATCTATAAAAAAAAATCACTTGCTCCAAAAAAGAATATTGTTAAGTTATTTCTTATCTTGTGCTAATTTAGGATAAATTAGAATTCTTTTGTTTTTTTCATTGCCCGATTTTTATCTATAGGTGGTGATAGTGAGAAGTGCATCTGCTATTGATAGGCCGAATGAAACGACTTTTTTCTGAGAGACAGTATACCAATCATTATTCATTGATGACCGAACTAAACTGTAGCAAAAGGTCACAATATTCACCGTCCAACCGTTTAACATTGTCGTTGGTGATGACGTCGGGTATAATATACAGTAAAACCTCTATTAGTGGACACCTCTCATAGGTGAACACCTCTGATTTTGAACAGGGGTTCGGTCCCACGGAGCGATTTTTGCTGAAAATGCATCTCCCATAGGTGAACACCTCCACTACTCTGAATTTGAACGCGCTTTTCATAGTCCCGATTGCTGTTATAACCTCTCTTAGATGAGCACACGTGAATTTTTTTCTCTCTCTCCACTCTATTATTGTCGACTAGTGCACTAAAATTGACTATTTACTGTTTTTTTCACAACTGTGCACATCAAGCGAACAATAACATCTCGACATCATCTTACATTAAAAAAAAAATTCAATTAATTAATGATAGCAGTGGTGGTAATGGTTTATCACAGCGTACATTAGCTGAAAGATATAATATTTCACTTGGCTCTGTATCTAATATATTAAAACGAAAAGAAGAATATTTACATGATTATGAAACCAATCAGAATCAAAATGTTAAACGAAAATTCAAAAGTTTTGATTCAGTAAAACTTGATCAACAAGTTTATGAATGGTTCGGTAGCTGCGAAAATATTTTAGTATGTGATGTAAATGAGCAAGATGATGATGATAGTAATGCTGTATCTACAGAAATACCACCAAAAATAGCAGAAGCAATGGAAATGACACAAAAGCTTCGTTTATTAGCAACAACACAATATCCACAATTACATAAATTAATTAGTGAATTAGAATCAAAATTAATTGATGTTTATATTGATTCAAAAAAACAAAAACAAACAACTATAGAGAACTTTTTCAAACAGAACTAAGTTTTTTGTTTTGTTGAAAAGTTGTTCGATTCAAATAAATTTAAGTGAAAGAAGACGAACAGGAGAGAAAATGGTCTCTAAATACGTCAGAACTGGTAGAGAAGGTCCGTTTCTGAATCTTTACTTCGTTTTGAAGTAAAATGCATGACATCTCCCATAGGTGAACACCTCTCAAAATGAACACTTTTCAAAAAGTTCCGACAGTGTTCACTTAAGAGAGGTTTTACTGTAAGTTACAATGGATATAGACGTATATACAGATTGAAATTTACGACATTTCTCATTGAACATGAACTATTCAACAGTTAATATCCTTGGTCTATGCGACGAGATATTGCTTACCATTTTCAACAAACTCAACAAGATCGATGTATTATATTCTTTCATAGGAGTCAATCAAAAACTCGATAAATTGGCTCAGGATAGTACATTTACACGATCTGTTGATTTAGTAACAATAACATTGAATGAAGATAATGAGTCAAGAACTAATTCAATACTTGATCGATTTTGTTTTGATATAATACCTCGAATTCAATACAGCATTGAATGTCTTACTGTTGGTCCATTGTCAACAGATCGAATTCTTCGCATTGGAAATTATCCTAAGCTCAATAAACTTATTCTTGTTAATCTTTCACTTAAAATGGCATCTCGTATTTTAAATAGTATGTTATCTGTTTTCTCAATCTTTGAATAAAGAAACTGATTCGATTAATTTATTTATTGTTATATATTTAGATGGATCATCATTTATTCATATCTATAAGCATCAGATTTCACATCTTGTTGTAACGATTAATGATGATATTACAGCTATACGAATAAAAAATGTAGCCACAAATATTTTTGCTAACATTCTTGCTATGTTTACAAATTTGATTCATCTTGATTTTAACTTTGGCGACAATTTTGGGTATCCACCAACATCATTTATTAAATTACTATCAACAACATGTCATTCATCAAGTATTGTTCATTTGATTGTTACGGTGCGCAATTTTGATGATTGTCTTTGTTTACTTGATGGACGTCTTAGTCAATTACATACATTTATTGTCAAAGTTGATAACATTGATGATTTATCAATGAGTATTCGTAAGAAGGTAAAGAATTTCGAATCATAACGAAAGAGCTTTGTTATTTCGATTTCTACAAGAATCGAATAATGAGAAATAGATTGTTGAGGGTGGGGGTAGTATTTTATTAGATGAGAAAATCCTATAATCAGTGTTTTATCCAGAGGGGTGCCCGAAGGGGGGGCGAAAAGTGAGTTCGCCCCCCCCCCGTCCCGGGACTCGTGGTCATCGCGCTACGAACTATGCGTTTGCCCTCCCGGAAAGAAGTGTTCGCCCCCCCGGAGTTTCAAAACGCCCCTCCGGAGAAAAAAACCTGGATAAAACACTGCCTATAGTATAAAACTATGTATTCATATACTTGATCGAGTTTTAATTTGATATGTGATGAATAAAGAGAAAATGATTGAAATAATATTATTGAGATATCTAATTATTCCTGTTCTTGAATCCATAATCAATGCGATATCACTTACTCTCTGTTAATTTAAATTTTTTTTGTAGAGAACTATCGAATCTCAAAATTTTCTCGCTATTTTCAACTGATCGAACGGATAAGTATGATATCGGAATTGTACCGCTTCTTAGTCAAATGTCACAATTGATGAAACTTACATTATCTCTTATTGTTCTAAAGCGAATTTCATTTATTGATGGTACTCACGAGGGAACCTTTTCAACTGTCCAATCGCTTTTGAGTTCGAACTCAGTGTGAAAGATAGACCCCAGTGAGGTATGAAAAGCCCCAAAAGGATAAGTGCCCATAGGCCTTCTGTCCAGAGTTATAGGCATTTTACTGGATTTTTAGCCTATGGCACAGTATATACCAAAAAATCGGATGACAATATTTCGAGCTGAGATTTTGTCCAAAGATAGGTCTATGTACCAATAGAATGCCCTGAAAATTTCAGCTCAAAAGAATGTTTCAATCTCGGGATATTAAACTCCCAAAAACCGCGCATATCCCGCGAATGATGCTAGAATTTTTTGGGTTTTGGGTGTTCAATATCCCGAGATTGAAACATTCTTTTGAGCTGAAATTTTCAGGGCATTCTATTGGTACATAGACCTATCTTTGGACAAAATCTCAGCTCGAAATATTGTCATTCGATTTTTTGGTATATACTGTGCCATAGGCTAAAAATCCAGTAAAATGCCTATAACTCTGGACAGAAGGCCTATGGGCACTTATCCTTTTGGGGCTTTTCATACCTCACTGGGGTCTATCTTTCACACTGAGTTCGAACTCAAAAGCGATTGGACAGTTGAAAAGGTTCCCTCGTCAGTTGTATAATAATATACTTTGTAAAATGCCACATCTGCATACATTTACCTTCAATATCATCACTAAAGATGTCAACGGTAATCAAGAATTACTACGATCTTCTGATGATATTAAGCGTACATTCATTGAAAAAGGATATCATGTTGATTGTTATATCGATTGTTATTCACGAAAAATAAATCAATGTCATGTTTACTCACTTCCGTTTACTATGGAGTATATGTTTAACGTTTCGAACAATTTTCCTGGTGGTCTATTTATGAGTGTTCGCAAACTGCAAGTATATGATTTCTTTCTTCCATTCGAACACGATTTCTTCGCTCGAATCTCTCAAGCTTTTCCATTACTCAATATATTGAACGTAATCAACATACACGGACAAAAGAAGAAGTTGACATGCCAACAAGATGAACATAAACAAACATCTTCAATTATTGAGTATCCTCATCTTGTATATCTCAGTCTCAATCGTGTACATATTGACTACAGCAAACAATTTCTTTTTCAATCAAACACACGTCTACCATGTCTTAACAAATTATCCGCTCTATATGAAGATTTGAGAAATGCGACAGAGAATTTCACAAGTGATGCTGCGCGTGCCAACTGTGCAAAACTGAAACACATTATTCTTTATTCACAGCCAACGACATTTCCAGAAAACTTCCATGATTATTTTCCATCATTGATAAATAAATTGTGATTTTAATTCTATTTGTGGTATTTTGATTATTTATCAATAAAAAGAAAGTTATTGATTGTGTGAAAATGTTTTCGTAGAATATCTTACATACACATCACTATTAACCCTTTCGAGACGATGTCGCCCACCGGTAGGCGACGCTATAATTTACATTGGTCAGTCATCCATAAAAACAAAAAGTTCTTGGAAAATGTCTTCGTCTATCAGACTTTGTGGAGCTATCTGCGCTGATCATTTTGATAAAAAAATATTCTAAGCTTGACCAATAAATGGCGGTGCTATGGTCAAAATACTGAAAAATTTCAAGCTGCTCTATGTGCCAGAGCTATAAAGTTTTTCAATATTTTAATCATAGCATCGTCATTTATTGGTCAAATTTAGAATATTTTTTTATCGAAATGATCAGCGCAGATAGCTCCACAAAGTCTGATAGACGAAGACATTTTTCGAGAACTTTTTTCTTTATGGATGACTACCCATGGAAGTACACTAGTTACATCCCTGACATTTTTGGAACTGCCCGTGATTCTATAGCTTATTATCACCCTATGAATTATCCGTTATACTCTTAAATCTCGTTTTTAACGGGCTTTCATTTGATATAAAAATCACTTGTATATCTCTTTGCATTTGAGCTGTAATATTTGGAAAAAAATTTTTGGAAACCCTGTAGAATCACATCGCCTCGAAAGGATTAATTATGAATTATAATGAGTGAAATAGAGTAATTTTGTTGAATATATAGTTTAAAAGAAATCTGAAAAAATCTTGTGAGATGAACAAAAATTGTCGTTTTAGTGTAGTTTAAGGTGTTTTATATTGATCGCCTTCATAAATGTATCACAAGTTGATTTTTTCAATTTTCTTTTTGGTCATGTTGGCAGATCAAAGCTGGAAAAATGATCACAATAAATTATAAATTGAAGAACTGACAAAAAAAAATACAAAGAGCCAGAAGCTCAAAATAAAAATTATTTACAAGTGATAAACAATTACTGTAGGTACATGTAGTAAAATATATTTTGACAAACTGTTGCATTACAATTGTTTTAATCTATGTTAATCTATTAAAAGCTTGTTGGATTTGAATAAAATTTTAATTTAATCATGACAAATATTTTACTTTTTGATTCTGTTCTAAATATAAATGAAATTTGAAAAGGTTTCGTTAGATTTTACCATTGAAGGATAAGAATGTCTGACGGAAAATTAAGCTATAACAATATATTCAATGAAGAAAACAACTGACTGTTTGATGTTATATAAGTCAATATTTCATCGAAACGAGGAAGAATGTTGTTATAACATGGGCAAAATAGTAAAAAGATGAAATACAAATTGCACAAGCTTGTTTATTCAACGAAAATAATAAAATAGAAAAATTGTCTGCCTTAGCTACCTCAATTAGGGGTGGACCATTAACATTAATCTTAAATTAATGTTAATATTTTTCATTAATATTAATGGTTAATGTTTTCCTTTAAAAACTTAATTCATTCATATTAATGATTAATGTTTTCTTGGAAAAACTTAATTCATTAATATTAATGACTTAATATTAATGAATTAATGTTCTCATTAAACATTAATCGCCAATATTAATGACTTAATATTAATGACTTAATATTAATGAATTTATGTTTAATGAGAACATTAATTTATTAATATTAAGTCATTAATATTAATGAATTAAGTTTTTAAAGGAAAACATTAACCATTAATATTAATGATTAATGAAAAACATTAACATTAATATTAATGGTTAATGAAACACATTAATTAATGTCATTAATTAAGTCCCGTTAAATTAAATGGACCACCCCTATTTGTTAATCGAAAACTAGACTCTTCTTAAATTAGGTTTGAGCGAGTGAAGTCGAATAATTTTTGTCATTTTTCGTTTTCTGTTGATTTTTAAAACAGAATATCAACACCTAGTTTTTCGTGATAATACGATATCTTGTTACTAGTTTTTATGCACAAAAAACAAAATAATAACAGTTTTACATAAAATAAAATGATACAATTACTAGAACCTTTTCAACAATGTAAGGACAGTAAAATTAACTCTTCTCTATTTCCATAAAGTTCCACAAGACAATAAAAACACAACATCAATTTTTATAACTTAAAGTTATTTACAAGCTAAGAATCATTTCAGTTAACGTTTTATTACACTTCAAAGATATTAAAATACAAATATATTATAGTGGTTTGGTCTCAAATTCAGGGTAAAAACTTGATTTTTTCAGTTTTGGTGTTTTTCTCTCTTTCACATTTTTTGTAAGCAATTAGATATATTTGTTATATAATGTGGCTATGGTCGGATAGAGGCCGCTACTAACTATAATTAATCCCATTTCAAAAAGCGATAACCGTTCATAAATATGAATTATTATTCATTGTATGTATAACTGTGTCTTATCCCATCTTGATTTTTTTAAATTTCACTGTTAAGTGTTTATTACAATTTTACGGATCTATCACATATTCACACACAGTGGCTATCATTTGCCAATAGCCGATTTATTCAATTGTTCTTGTTCATTTAGTTACAAGAGAAATGGATGTTGATTCTGGCGTCGTAGTCATAATGAGTTTTGACCAGATGCTGATGATAAGCGAAAAAAAGCAACAGTCTCAATTTAGATTATGGTAAATGAAAGAAGAGAAACAGCTATAGGAAGACAAGGAGCAGACAAAAAAGAAGAAGAAAAAGAGAAAGATTATGGCATCAATGTGAATGCATTAGATAACACTAATTAAACTTTTATTACACAGAAAAATTTTGAACAACATTTCTAAATTTAGCGAGTAGAGTAGTAGATAGGAACTAAAGATGTTGCTTTTCACTGTAAATCAATTGTTATCTATGTCGAATAAATGCTTTTTAAAACTTGATAAAATCTATGTCACACTTTTTCGCACATACATTATTATTTATTCTCCCTATAAGACCAATTCAATGATTAGTTAAAATGATTGTGTCATTAGACAACGTATAATATCCTCTAACAAATCTTCAAGTACAGTCACAAAACAACAATAAACTAATACAATAGAAGTGATTAACTAAACAGATCCTTGCCCCCGAATTTGAGACCAAACCACTATAGCTTGTGAAAAATTTGAACGATACGGTCTCATTAAAAGATCGCTTTGAGAAAACAAATATTCAACAGATGGTTATACAACAAGAATACATATGATTTTTCTAGCAAGTTTATTAAGAGATTTACATGAACTAAGATTATTGGTTAAAGTTTCTTCTTGCAGAATATCATTGATTTCTTGTGAAACTGATTTTGGTGTTGAATTATCAACTTTTGCTTTTTTTGAATGAATTACTCAAGTCAATATCACCCAACTTTCGAGTTTAGGTCATGACTCGAAGTCGCACAGACCTGTTTCAAATAATCACCCTTCAAAAATTCTTAGTCAAATCGTTGTCAGAAATCAATGAAAAAAATTTAATTTTTTCGAAATAAATATATCATAAATAAACATTTTTCAATTTAGTGATGTCATAGTCGATGAAGATTTTTTATATCACTTGAATAATGATATACTAATAGATAGGAGGATGGTTATTGAAAAAGATATTCTCTATTCTTACTAATTACTTTCAATTATAAAAAAAATACTTAACATGATAATTTCTAAATTTCTAAATAATATTTTATAGCTCTTTGTTTTAAGAATAATATTTTTTTAAATTCCTTTTACAACATATAAAAAATCAACTTGTCTTAATTATGATTCGTTTAATAATAATAAGAAAAGAAAAAGGAATATTTTTTTCCTATACCGGACAGACGTCTAGATATGAATGCGAAAAAAAATATAACGTTCTGGCACATGCTCCTATATTTACCTATATGTATTTACTTCATTTCATTTTTATGCTTCATTGATCGACAATTATTACGTTTTATAAATAATGTTGGTGTCTCCTTCTTAAGGTATTCAAGTTGATTTACATAAATAAATACAATAGGATTCGAATTTTTATAAAATTATATAATACTCAATTTTTTATTTTGTTAATTCTATGTTAACAATTAAATAAAAATGGCTACAACACTTAGTATTCAATCAAATCAAAATCTTGATACATTTATTCTTATATGGCTTGATAGTTTAGTTAATATATCGGAAGACAATATTGATACTAAAAAAATACTTCGAAAGGCTATTACTTATGTTGTATCATTTGATGATACTGAAAAATGTTTGGAATTTATTCGAAGTCATTCACAAGAAAAAATTGTTTTAATTGTTAGTGGTCGATTAGGACAAATATTAGTACCACGTGCTCATCAATTTTCACAATTAATTGCAGTCTATGTTTATTGTTCTGATAAAAAACGAAATGAACAATGGGCTAAAGATTTCATTAAAGTAAATTTTAAATTTAAAAAAGCAAATTCGTTTTTTTTTCTCTCTAATATTTTAGATCAAAGGTGTGATTGTCGATTTAAATGACTTAATTAAGCGAATAAAATTGGATCATATGAAACGAAATGAATATAATATTGATGAATCATTACCAATAACTTTTTTTCATAAAAATCCTCAAAATAAACAATTTTTAATTAAAAATAATGATAATTTTATTTATTTTCAATTAATAATCGATTGTTTAAGTCTAATTAAACCAACTTTAAATGAAAAAAATAAACTTATTTTATTTTGTAAAGAAAAATATAAAGACAATAAAAACGAATTAAATATTATTAGTGAATTTGAAGAAAATTATTCATCCAATCGTGCAATATGGTGGTTAACAAGAGAATCATTTGTTTTACCTATGTTAAATAAAGCATTTCAAACAATAAATATTAATTTATTATATAATTTTAATTTTCTTATTAGTGATATTCGAAAACAATTAATTGAAAATAAATATCAAGCACCACTACGTACTTATCGAACTCAATTAATGTCAAGTCAAGAAATAAAATTATTAAAATATTATATTGGAGAATATGTTTCAATTAATACATTTTTTATTACAATACCAAATCGTAAACATGCAATTGAAATGTTTAAAGATTCTGATACTGATTCGGGTTTAAAACGTGTTTTATTTGAAATTGATGCTGATCCTCAACTTGAAAATATGAAACCATTTAGTGATATAACATCATTAAATTATTCTACTGGTGTAGAAATTATACTTTTTATGGCTGGAACAATATTTCATCCAGTTGATATTTGTCAAGAAAATGATATTACTATTATACAAATGGATGCATGTAGTGATAATGATTCAAATATTAAGACAATTATAGATAATATTAAAGGAGAAGATTATGGTGCTACACCAGATGTTTTTTCACTTGGTTATATACTTGCAAAAATGAAAAAATTTGATGATGCTGAAAAGTTTTATAATCGATTATTAGTTGAACTACCTGATGATCATCGTTCAGTTGTATCTTGTTATAAAGGATTTGCTAGAATAGCAATGGAAAAAGAAGATTATGATTTGAGTATTCAACGATATCAAAAAGCATTTAACATGGAACAATCAGTATTAAAACCTGATGATCCTGGAATTGCTTCTGGATATAGTACTATTGCAGATGTTTATGTTAAAAAATGTGCATTTACTGAAGCATTACAATTGTATAATCAAGCATTAAAAATATGGATTCGAGCATTAGGTAATGATCATCTAAAAGTCGCAGTATGTTATAAAAATATTGCTCGTATATTTGAAATGCAAAGTAAATATAATGAAGCTATTGATTATTATGAAAAAGTTGTAGCGATATACGAGAAAAATTCTACTGTTAATCAGGCTGATTTAGCTAAATTACATAATCATATAGCAAGTATATATGCTTTGATTGATGATAAGAATCATATATTAAAACATTATAAATTAGCATTGAAAATTTTCTCAAAAATTTATTCTATTAACCATCCAGATGTAATAGGAGCATTGAAAAATATTGGTCATACTCATGAAGCAGCTGGTAATTTAAGTCAAGCTCTAGCACATTATGAAAAAATAGCTTCAATACATCGTGAACTATTACCTTCAAATCATCCTGAGATTAATGAAATTCAACTAGATATTAATCGTATAAAATCTCAAATAAAATAATAATAAAAAATATTCAATTTTCAATCGATTTATTATGATTGTAACAATTAAAGAAAACTAATATTTCATATTTTTTTTCTAATATTTATTTTGAGTTTTTTTCAATACGAAAAATGACAAAAAAAAATTATAAATTATTATTCTTTTTTTGAATCATTAAAATATGAACTATTTCATCACATATGTTCATTGATCGATGTCAATGACATAAGATAAAATTTAGATTTATATATTTATTGTTATACATAATGTAAACATTTGTCTTTATTTTCAGTTGATTAAATACTTTTCTGTTCTTTGTCTTATCTCTTTTTTTCTTTTTTTTTACTTCTCGTGTATAACAATACTATTGTTTTACCATAAACGAAAACATCATGCTTATTCGTTTTTGTTTTTTATTACTTTTATATGACTTATTATCAGACAAAATTGATGGTCTAATATCAGCACAATCATGTGCTGATATTATACGTCCAAGTCAAAATTATACACCTGCTGATCCAACATTAAAAATTGGTACTATATCAACATCTAGTTATCAAGAATGTGGAAAACGTTGTCGGGTAACAACATTATGTCGTACGGCTGTTTGGTGTCAAGGACAATGTACAATGTATCAAGAATATATTGCATTTGGAATACGTTTACCTAATCTTAATTGTATGCTTATTACATTGTCCGGTATTGCATTCAATGAAGTAAAATTTCTTGGCCTTTTTTTTATTAAGTTTGTTAAAGATATAATTATGTTTTTAACTTTGAAAAGAAAAAGTCATATCAGTTATTTATTAGTCTTAAACGAAGAAAAATCTTTGGATGTTATTTTTCTTTCGTTTAACTCTTGACAATAATTTCGAATAGATTTATTGCTGATGAAATAAAAAACAACAACTGTTTGTGATTAAATAATTCAAATAGTTTGTATGATATCGATAGTGCAAAAAAAAACTACTGCACACTAGATACCTTAACATATTCGATTAGATATCTATCAACTGACAAACCATAGAGAACAGTAAAACTATTTTAAGTAACTGTTACTCTTTCAATGAGATGATTATATGTCCAAAGTTTATAAAACTTGAAAACTAGTTTCTATACTCAAAGATACATGAATAGCATGAAACATATATATATATATATATATATATATAAGGTTGGTACATAAGTTCTGAGCGTTTGGATCAGTAGAATTATATCGTCAATATAAAACTACATTTTAAGGCAAGTAATTATATATTCTGACAGAGCTCGGAATTCTCTATCACCCTGTGTATTTAACTCATGACTTGCATTTATTTGCTGAAAAAATATTTTGAATACAGTGAAGACACCCTCACCCTCAGATTCCCACGAACTCCATTTTTTGTTCCTTTCTCATGTGTTTCTAAAATTTTTATCTCTACAGTGATTCGGCTTTTTAGAAAAGTAATTATATATTGTGAGAACTCTTGAAATGCTCTATCACTCTGTATATTCAGGTCTGACTTAAACTTATTTGCTGAAAAATATTTTGAACATTGTCAATACGAATGAAGGTGTCTTCACTGTACTCAAAATATTTTTTCAGCAAATAAATGCAAGTCAAGAGTTAAATACACAGGATGATAGTGAATCCCGAGCTCTGTCAGAATATATAATTACTTGCCTTAAAATGTAGTTTTATATTGGCGATATAATTCTACTGATCCAAACGCTCAGAACTTATGTGTCAACCAAATATATATATATGTTATTACTATCTTCTTCATTATTTAGATAGAACCAGTAGTAACCATTGCTAAGAATGTTATTTACGAAGCATCACAATCAAAATATTATGAACAAACATACATGGTTAACTCACTTGATGAATGTATTCAATTATGTCGTCTCGATTCTCATTGTACGTACATCCTAGTTGTGCAAAATGATAAATCATTTCGATTATTCCTTCGTATATGTTAGCGTCCAATCTAGGATCTGACATTGGACGAACGTTAGTTTAGATCATTCTCGGATTAATCAGTTATACATATTACATTAAAGGAAAAGTTGAACGTGGCATGTGAAATTTTATATTCTATAAAATACAATATCTAATCATAAGCAAATACCACAAAAAGAATCAATGAAGAGTGTAGTGTGAATGTACTTGTTCTTTTCACCTCATACCCACAACCGAAATGAAAAATTCACTTTTTTTTGCTTTTTCGAAGTTTGCTTTAGAATAAACGACGATTTGATTTCATCCACATTTTTCTATTCGAATCTTTATTCAATACATTCTCTAGACTGAACCAACACCTCTATATAGAATGCAATATAATTAGTCTCAAATTCGCGATCGGCCTAAACGAATCTAAGATTCAACGTATTGTCACTGATCAATCCGAGAAAGATCTGAACTAATATCGAATCCGAGATTGGACGCTAGGATATATACATATATACACATATAGGTTTAACAGCATCGTATCAATCAAGTACAAATAATTGTTCTTTATTTGCTGAATATGTATCACAAGGTCGTAATTATACCGATTTTGATTGGACAACAATTGTTTTAGATACATGTGCTGGTCGAGATCCACGTATATATCCATGTTTAATTGATGCAACACAAGCTCATAGAAAATTATGTGATTTATTCTGGGAGATTCAACCAATTAAACTTGATCCACAAAAAATGTTCTATGAACCTAATGGTTATACAGGTTGGTTAACAAAATCATCGGTTTATTGGCCAATGACAATTAATGGTGAAGGTGTAATATTACGTGCATCATATGACATAAAAATAGTTGATCCAGTATTGATTGAATATGAACTTGAAACAATAAATGAAAAATATTTTCATATTAATATTGATGAACATACACAAATACCTATTGCTTATGTTGTTACGAAATCATTAATAGATAATAAAATTTATCGAATTCATTTAAAAGAACAAAAAATAACTGCAAATAATTTTCTTAATAATTTTCTATTAGAACAACGTTGTCAATGGTGTTATTTTGCAACAGATGGATCTAATAATATATTTGTATCTATGGATAATAGTGATTCAATTGAACAATATGATAATAATGGTAAAAAAGTGAATTCAATTTATTTATCATCACCAACAGGTATTATTATTCGTAATCATAATATATGGATAGTTAATAATTCACAATTAATTATACTTGATCGACATTTATTATTGGATCAAACATATACTTATCGTATTAAAAATCAATTTGATCTTACTTCATTCTATAATTTACCAATAACAAATCCTTTAATTTTTTCTCATGTTTTAACATTTGTACCATTTCATCTGGATGTTGATAATTATGGACGTATATATGTAACCGGTGCATTATTAGATATCTTGTCTGATAATAATCGTTATTCACCAGGCAATAATCCACAACTTTATATACTTACTGATAGTGAACAAGAAATACCATCATCAATTTGTGCTGGACCATGGGGAATGTTTGGTGTAAATGTTTATCATTCTAAACTTAAACTACGTATGCTTACATCGACAAATGATTTTATCTTTCATTTGTATTCAAGTCCTTAAACGAAAACAAAAAAGTATCTGAAACTTTTGTTTTTATTTTAATTTAATGCAAAACAAATACAAATACATCTATACATACACAGAATGTATCTAATTACCATTTCTCTAGGTTCTTCATGAAAACAAAACAATTGATCAATTCAATTTTCTTTTTAAATATATTTTTTTTGTTTTTGTTCAACTGAAATAGTCAAACAAGTTTATGAGCCGATGTTTTGTTTTTCTATCATACATTGATTTCCATCACTCAAAACACAAAACTAGCACTTTTCATATTCACTAATAATGGAAGTGTTTCTGTTGCACGGATCATAATATTGGAGTTGCGTCCGAAAAATTACGTTTCAAATTTTAGTGCAAGATATGGTTATTTCCAAATACAACGAGGAGTAGATCCAAAATTTTGATTTTCGTAAGAAATTTTTTTTTAAAATTTAAAACATACTTTTTTAAAAACAATTCAACAAGCTCTATCCAAATATGATGCAAAAAATTCGACTGAAATTTTGATTTATGTAGCATCCTTGTTAGTTTGCAGAATTGGGCAAGTTCAAGTTACGATTTGGACTTGAAAGTTTGGTACCGTTAGTTCAACTTCTTGACTCCAGTCATTCATTGCTTTAAAAAAAGGCAAAAATCAATTTCCGAACAAATTGATGATTTTTTGCAGGAAGAAAATTTAACCAGTGATCTTAATTTATATCAATATCCTGCTAAACTTGCTAGCAAAATTATATGTGTTCCTACTACATGAGCATCAGTTGAACGCGTGTTTTCTCAAAGCGATCTTTCAAACTTTTTACAAACTAATATATTTGCATTTTAACATCTTTGAAGTGTCATTAAGACAATTATTTAAATTTTTACTTATAAAAAACTTTGAATTTAGGCTTTTGTTTATAAAAATTAATACTTTCTTAGAACTAGTAACAAGATATCGTGTCATCAAAAAACTTGTTGTTAACGTTCGTTATAAAAAATAAACAGAAAACGAAAAAATAACTTAACTCGCCCAACCCTGTTAGTTTGGTGGTAAGAGCTTGAATTTGATCTGAATATGTCTAACCCTATTAACTTAAAAAAAATAAACACTTGCATTGTAAAATACCGTCTATATGATAAATACACTTTCGATTTTTCCAATTAAACTTTCTGTGTATTTATTTAAAGATCTGATGTGACAATTTGATTCTGAATCTGCTGAATATCGTAAATGTACTATACTAATATCGGTGTCAGAAGTCAGTGCACTCGGATGTTTTTTGAATAACTTTCGACAGGAACAAGTTAGGGACCTACAGTTTTCAGCAAACGATAGAAGATTATAAGGGACACATTTTTATATAAAATTCAAGGTTTAAATAATCAGACGCCATAGGAGTAATTATTCAATCACTGAAAGAATAGGCTTGTTATTTGATGAAATCTCAGCAGAACAAGCTGAAACTTTCAGCATATATAGTTTCACCGTAGTCCAACCTTTCCTGAAAATATCATCAATAAATCTTGTAATGACGAGGAATTATGTGCCAATCATTATACTTATTTTACATAAGGTCCTCATTTACTGAATATATTAGAAAATGACCTCAACTTTTGATTGAATAAATACCATAATCTAGACTTCATGTCTATGGAATTATATCATAGTTTGATTATATGAACGCGAAGAGACGGTGAAAACATTACTAAGTTCTGCATTTCTCATGATAAAGTTGGGAAGATTTGTTTCAAGATACTTACTCTATGAAAATCATTTCTTTGTCGAATTTTGGCTGTTTCTCTTTATTTCTACAACCAAAGTATGATGCTATTGCATAGATATGAAGTCTAGATTATGGTATTTATTCAATCAAAAGTTGAGGTCATTTTCTAATATATTCAGTAAATGAGGACCTTATGTAAAATAAGTATAATGATTGGCACATAATTCCTCGTCATTACAAGATTTATTGATGATATTTTCAGGAAAGGTTGGACTACGGTGAAACTATATATGCTGAAAGTTTCAGCTTGTTCTGCTGAGATTTCATCAAATAACAAGCCTATTCTTTCAGTGATTGAATAATTACTCCTATTGTGTCTGATTATTAAAACCTTGAATTTTATATAAAAATGTGTCCCTTATAATCTTCTATCGTTTGCTGAAAACCGTAGGTCCCTAACTTGTTCCTATCGAAAGTTATTCAAAAAACATCCGAGTGCACTGACTTCTGGCGCCGATATTAGTAAAAATCTGAATTGGATTTTGAGAAACAAATCTAGAATTGAAATTTGGTCGAAATTTTGAAAATTCAAATGTTGAACATAATTTAACGTTTTCTTCCAAAAGTCTTTGTAATAAACAAAGCTGGTATTTTGTGTGAAGATATCTGTTTGTGGACTTACATCGGACGCAGACTATTAGACCTGAACTGAACAGTTTTAGATAAAAAAGGACTAACTCAGAATACTTACATGGATAAATCTACATAACATTTCGCGCAGCAAAAAATTATGGGTCTTTATTGTAGACAATGTAGATTAACACAGAAGAGCAGATGAAAGTTATAAGATAGGATACAGATACATGACCACTTACTACTTCCATCTATTGTAAAACCATTATGTATATTCGCTTCATTGTAAATAGGCACTGTTTTGAAAGTGATGAATTATTTTTGCAAAATATTGTACTTACTATTGATTCCTTTTCTCATACAAACAGGAGGAGAAAGATGATAGCGCCAAGAGCAATCTAAGCAAGCGCTTGTACGTCTGTTCTCGAGAGAGGAACGGATGAAAGTGAAAAAAAAACTGTTGAAGGCATCTCAATTTCATATTTCAAATGAGTTAATTAATTATCTTTTTTTACTGTGCAATCATCGACATTGAACACTTATTTATTTGAATAATTCATCGAATAATTATTTACAACTGTATCAAGAAACAAATCTTCACATTTGCATTAATGAACAACCACTGGAATAAAATGAAGAGACATCGTCACACTTTTTTGTGTTTCTTTTAGCGGTTTTCATTACGTTAGTTGATATTTTAATTAGGAAAATGAAATTGATTTGATTAAAAACCAAAATCATGCGGTAAATTTTATTTTTAAGTAAATTTATTCCAGGATTGTCATTAAAAGCAAATTCACTACATTTTTTCAATTAAAATGGCGTTTTTAATCAATGAATTTGGACAAATATAAAAGTTTATGTCGGTTTCATCATCAGAAGTACCATTTTTTCATGTTTTTGATATCAAATTCATGAAAGTCATGAAATTTTTTTCATTGTTTAAGTCACTGGAAGTCCTGCTAAAAAGTTGTAGTCATTGTATTTTTGTGACCCCAATGGGGTGATATAATTGCTTTGTTAGTAAATGCCAGTAGAAAAGTCACCACGATACGTTGTTAAATTCTTCGATTGATCGATACGTCTACATAACATGACTCGAGTTCTAATCATTAAGAAGCTTCATTGATAAATGCTAAATATTTTTTCAGATTTTTTTTTGCATTGATACATTTACAGACTTTTTTTTGCGAATTTTCAATAGTTCTATTTCAAGAAATATGAATTGAAAGAATGGTAAATCATTCTGTCTAAAGAATTTAAATTTATTTGATTTAACTCATGTGATGAAGAATGGACATTGGAGTGTCATTGTTTTAAATCAAGATAGAACACTTTTTTTTGATGAAAATATTCCCGGTAAATATGGTTCTTACGATTTGAATGCATTAGAAAATAGTAATGAAACATTTGAACGAGTAGTTTTGCTCAAATTCGAAACTTCCAAAATTGAAAGTTCAATTGTAGGAAAAGATTTTTTAATAAAAAATATGTTTGTTGAAACGTCAGCGACAAATCCAGAACAGCAAACAATGCTATTGCCGGTTAATGTTAATGAACAATCAATTCAATTAGATGATCAAACAGTTTCAGAATCGTTTGAGATTCAAAATTATTCTATAGTGAATATAAATGATGATAAATGTTGTCCAATATCATTAGAGAATATACAAAATTTGTCCAAAGAACATTTTATTGGTGATGATTTAGAATATGATGATGATCTGGTACAAAATTCTATTGATGTCAAAGAAAGTATTCACAATATAAAAGATGAAGAAGAAGAAAAAAATTTGAGTTACTTTGAAAAATCAATGCTTATGTACCTAAGGTTAATTTTGAATCAGGCAAGTAATTTTTCATTTTGAAATGTTGTTGATATCTAAATATTTTAGTTACAAAACACTAATACAAGATTAACTTTTGTTGAAAAAGGTTTAGCATATATATATGAACGACAATCTACAGGAACAATTATCAAATTATTAAATGATCATTATTTAATTGATATTAGACAATTAGATGCACGACTAATGTCATCGTTCGAATCTGAAGCAATGCAATCATTCTTTCGACTTGTTGCATTCTATATGAAGAAAGACTATGACCATTGATGGAATTCTATAAAGTATTGGCTATGTATTTCACTGCGACCTAAATTAATTGAATATAATTTACTTGGATTCGGTAATTTAAACAAGAAGGACAAAAAAAATCAATTGAAAATAATCAAATCTTCAATTAAATTAAATGTAGATGTTCAATGCTTGAATCGATCATCTTATGCTACATTTGAAAATACCTTGGATGATACTGATAAAAATATAATCGTTGTATTCGAAGCAACAACCTCCAAAATATACTTCATCAATGATATTCTACCTAATATATCAAATAAAGACGATAATTACACGAATTCTATGAAAAAACTCATTCATAAATTGTGTCAATTAGAACGACAGGTTTATTATTTATCTTTCTACTATTCAATTCCACTTAATCAATTTTTTGCTGGTCTCGTTCTTCTTGCAGAGCTGGGCAAAATACTCGAAGTATTCGTACTCGAGTACGATTTTTGTGGTATTCGTACTCGGAGGGTCAGTACTCGTACTCGGGGAGCTTGGTACTCGTACACGTACTCGTGGTTCGAAGCTAGAGTACTCGTACTCGTATGCATACTTGAGTACGATTTTTGTGATACTCATACTCGTACTCAGAGGGTCAGTACTTGTACTCGTACTCGAGAAAACCCGTACTTGCCCAGCTCTGTCTTCTTGAATTATATCGTGATACATCCATTAATTCCCATGAATTACTAAAGAAGATAATGCCGTCGGAAATTATTCGTGGCTATGGGCCTTTATTATTTCGATTATTTAAAATGGACCAGTTTATTATAACATACTAGATATTTGAATGCTGCACATAAAACATTTTTTTTTCTAAATATTAGGTTTATTAATAAAACTCTTTCTATTTCTATTTTTTCATTTCATTGATAATTGTGACGTTCCGATCTCGACAAGTTTCTTATCAGGAAATAGCTAAACACAGTTAACAAACAAATAGTGAATACTTTACGACATGTTTTGCCTATTGATTTCTTTTTATCTTCTACTTTATTTTATTTTTTAAAAACAAAATACATTCTAACGAGACAACGACTCGAAATGATACCCTTCATTTTAACCCATTTATATCTCAATAGATAGCATGTATCGAGATAGTAAAAGAATTGAGAGGATTTTCCTCATGGTTTTTTCTTTAAAAGTTATAACCGTTTCATTGAGTTATCGATCCATTCCTAGCAGAGATCGAAACGAATGACAACAATTCAATTCGGATTCGATTCGATTCGACCCACTTCCAAAAAAATCTTAATCGATTCGATTCGTCTAAATAAAACTCATATTCGATATTACCCAGCTTTTAAAATTCATCATTCGATTCGATTCGAAAGCCATAAAAGTTCAATTCGATTCGATTCGGTTTTGTTTGGTTCTGACATTTTAAAAAAATGCTATATATGTTTAGAAACAGTCCATTTTTTGATAATGTTCTCTCTTGAAAAGGACAATACCTATCGATACTCACGTGAAATAACTTATTTTCATATTTAACTTTACAATTATTAATAGTCTCATTAAGTCTTGCTTACGGGAAAAATACGAACCTGAAATCTTTTAATCATTTGGTGGAGTTTTGTTGTAAATCAAATTACAAAATTATTAAATTACGTTTGACCTCTCATAGGGCATCAGTTAGTTTGCTTTGAGTGTCGTACTATCATCTGTTGTCGATCCTGAGTAAAAACGCTTTTGTTTAATAAAATAAATTTCTTGCGGAAAGAGTTTGATTATAAAAGATGATCTCGATCAAGTAAAGAAAAATCTACATCATTCCGTTTAAACCATTTGTTTATTAATAATAAGGTTTTTAATATTGTACTTGATCTGAACTTTCTTTTTCTTAGTTAAGTATGTTTGTATTCAAAATTTAACTTGAGCATATTCATTTGTTATTTCAACAAGATGTGCTCAATCATTTTTACTTGCTATTCCTTCTTTACATCGAATATTAATTCAAAAAAAAAATATTCTTTATAAATTTTTTCTGAATTTTTCAAAGCAATATTTATTAACAATACAATATACTTTTTTTTACTTTTAAAATAAATCTATAATTAACTATTCACAAAATTCTTTTGTTTTTTAATGTTCAGAATAAAGAAAAAAAAAAAGAAATGAACTTTTACAATAAACAATACGATGCTAAGATAAAATACTGTTATTTATTTATTCTCAATTTCCATTTAAAATGTTTGATTTTATTATCAATTTTTTCTTTTTGATCATTTTCAATATCATCGATATTTATTGTTGTTGACGATGATGATGCAGAAGAAGATGATGATTGAGAATTTTTTCGATCAAAACTTCTTGATAAATCCATTGCTAATGAACAACCAGATATAATCATACTTTCATCTTGTTCATTATTAGATGAAATATAATTAGTAGTTTTATTTTTATTTAATGAAAATAATTCTTCATATGAAAATGCTCGACGACGATTTGTTGTTTGTTGATTAATTATTGGTGAATGATAACGACGTAATGATGATTTTGAACAATGTAAAACAATTGTTGATAATGACATACTACGTTGATGATGTTGTGAAGAATTTACTTGACGATGTTTTGTATATTTTGATGAAGAAGAATTTAATATTATAGGTAATGTTTGAGTTATTAATTGTTTTTGATGTGCAAAATTTGTTACACTTTGACGCCAATCTAATGGAATTTTATCATGACAAAATGATGATGTACGTTCTGGTGAATTAATAGTCGAATGTTGAAGTAATGGCAATGGAGAACCAGTTTCTAAATATTATCAAAAGTCTTATGTTGAAATCATTAAAAGACAGTTTTATATTGATTCTGATGAAACTTTTGAAATATTATCTTTTACTTATTTAGGACCTAATCCATATACAACGTCTTTATAAGAAAGAAGCTGGAGGAATATTACAAGATGAAACCACCATTGTAAACGCTTCTCAGATATTTACTCTAGATTGGAAAGCAACGGAATTTTAAACATTGCTTTATTGATTAACGATCGTTTTTTGCCCATAGACAGTACATAGTATGCTAATAAAAACCTTAAAAGGATATGGATTCTTTGAAACACGAAGCTTTCAAAAAATACATGTTGTATACATCATTCATGAAGAAGAGCCAATATCTTGAAGAGACTTTGTTCAAAACTTGTGAATTTTTTTATGAAAGCTAGTCTCTAGTTAAGTTCTCTATATGCACAAAGTTTCAGATCAAAATTCGATAGCTAAATCAAATATCAATAGAAACGTAAATCCTTCTAGAGATTTTATTAGAACACTATGTGCTGTCTATAGGCTACAAATCATTGAAATTAGAAGAGGAGGGGACGCAGCTGAAGAAGTTTCCTCGTTAGTGAAATGAATCCGGTGAACTATGATATGTTAGTAATGAAAAAAATTTCATATTTAATGATTTGTTCTTGTTAATTGAATCTAATGAGAATTAGCAACATCGTTTATTTTTATTTTGCACGTTTCGTTTTTGATCAATCAAATAATCATCTAACATTGATATTTTTATTATAAATACTTTTTAAAAGAAAATTCTCACTTTTCTCAATAAACTTGATAATCGAAAAGAATCGAAGTTATTCATTTAAACAAATCTTAGAGAATACGACCTATATTTTATTTCATAAGATTTAATAGAGCTGATCGAAACTAATGAAGAGATATTACGAACAATATTCTTATAGACTTATCAGACTTTAAATTACTCTATTTCAATAGTTGCTTGTCAAACTAAAATATATTCTACCCACAAAGAAATTGACATTCTTAAATACTGCCTAACTCTTTTCAAAATGCTAACATCTTTATTCAATTATTACAGATTAGAAGGAGAAATCATATCGGAATGTCATTGAGACAATTAAATATCATTTTTACTAATGATCATGATAGATTTTAGTGACCTCAAAGAAAGGAATTTATTTCAAAAAAACAGGAAAACTAATATCAAAATTCGTAAACATATTTGACTGTAAATAAAATTTAATTCAAATAGATAAAATCTTAATATAGGTTTCTTGTTGATAAAAAGAAGTTATGAATTGTATCTCTTATTCTAAGCTGTTATGAATATTTATGGCATAATACAAGTAACGATTGAATTCAATAGGAAACATGAATTTTGTTTGTACTTCTTTTTTTTTTACAAATGTTTCTTTTTTTATAGTTTTTACCTTTAACTGATATATCGTCTTTACTATTCATTTCTTGTTTACATAATTCTTTTAATTCTTCTTCTTTTTCATGTAATTGTTTATGTAATTGTTGTAATTGTTCACATAATTCTATTTGTTTAGTAATATTTTGTTGTATAACAATTAATTTTAATTGTGTTAGTGATGTTTGTGCTATACGTTGAACTAATTTTTCATGATCATCATTTTCAACTGTTTGATCATTAACAGATAAAATAACTGAACCAGAACGTAAACCTGCTTCCCATGCTGGACTTTTATCTTCTACGTGATCAACATATGTAACTAATTGTATTGGTGCTATATGTGATGATGAACTAAATGAATTTGATATTGATAATGATTTACGACTTGTTGTACTTTCTGATGATGAAGATACAAGTGAACATGCTGATTCATCGGTTGATAATGAATTTAATGAAGCAAAACCATATGTTTGAATTGAAAAGCCATATGATGAATTAATTGTTGGTTTTTCAATAATAATTGTACGTGGACGATAAAGATCTGATGATGATGAACGATGACGATGACGAAAAAATGGTCCACGAATTATTGGCGTTAAAGATGAAGAAGATATAGTTAACATTATGTATTTATAGAGATTCTTTTACTAGTAATTATTGTTTTCTTTTTCTTTTTTTTTATCTTCATGTCAAATAAATCCAGATAATAATATATAGATGAAATAAATTAATTTACTGGTTAGATTATGAAAATTTTTATTTTAGATTAATAAATTTGAAATAGATTAAGTTATTGAAGATGTCAATTGATGAATTTT